GTGTGTGTGACAGACACCGGCTGATCACAGTGATGGTTTGTGTGTGTGTCAGACACCGGCTGATCACGGTGATGGTCTGTGTGTGTGTGTGACAGACACCGGCTGATCACAGTGATGGTTTGTGTGTATATTAAGACAGTGTTGAGACACTCACCATGAGGAGATGGGGTGACAGGTTCTCTCCTGATCTTCTCTGGCTGGAATATATCCACAGAAACATTCACAGAAGAAATCATTGCCCCCTTCTCTGTGTCGCTCCCTCAAAGGAATTTGCTCAGTTACTAATTCCTTTTCGCTGATGTCACTGACTCACTGACCAGGGGAATAATGTCTCCCTATTGACTCCATCGCAATCCCTCATCATTGTAAAGATCTCCATCACATCATCCCTCAACCTGCTTTGTTCCCACTGGTCCCAGTTCCTCCCTCTGTCTGGGCTGCGAGCTGCAGTGAGGAGACAACGGGACCGAGTGAGCGAGGGACAGACTGGGCGCTGCTGTCTCACACTCACACTGTCTCTGTATCTCCTCAACGTCTGAGAGAACGTATAATCTGGAAGCCACATCTAAACACATTGAGGGTTTTGAGTAAAAAGCACATCTCTGTCTCTGTCTCTGTCTCATCTCAAGCAATAATCAAACAGCCAATAAACTCCACCTTATTGAATCCTTTCAATCTCGAACCTCCAGCAGGTCCCTCAGTCTCTCACCCAGAGTCACTGACCCCCCTGGGGACATGTATGTCTACCTCAGTTGCTCGTGCTCTCACCTCCGTGGGGACTTTGAGCTCCCAGTCCAGGCTGACACTCCAGGCCAGTGCGAGGAGTGAGAGAGAGCCACAGTGTCAGAGACGCCGTCCTTCAAATAAGATGTGAAGCTGAATTGATGATGTGCCTTATCCACTGAACCCTCAGAAGGGACACAAGATGATGGATCAGTTGAGCCCTTCGGCCTCTCTGATCTGTCCTCACTATGGGGCCGAACGGTCTCCATCTGAACCAACCTTGTCATCTTCCCTCCTGATGGTCTCCTCACAGGGCTTGGCCTCTGGCTTGTCCCTCATCTCCTCTGCTCCACCATCGGTGGCTGTGCTTTCAGCATCTACGCCCCAAAACTCTGGAACTCTCTCCCTCAATCCCTCCGCCTTACCCCCTCCTTCCCCTTTTTCAGATCACACCTTAAGAACTTCCTCTTTAACTTTCCCTATGGCCACCCTCCCCCCTTCCCGACTCAGTCTCAGCCTTCACCACTGAAGCTCTGAGACACTACCCCGTCACTGTGTAAATATGGAGACCTGCAGCTCAGTGGTCAGAGCCCTCTCCTCGCAAGCGAGAGGCCTGAGTTTGATTCCCGGGCGGTGCAAACCTTAGGCAAGTTTCCTTACTCCACACGCCTCTGTTTACTAAGCAGTAAATAGGAACCTGGTTGTCAGTTATTCGTGGATCACTTTCCGGGGGAAATAAAACCTTCAAAAAAAAATGTGATCACTCAATCAACGTGTGGGACACTGCTGTTCGCAATTGGCTGCACTGTTTCGCTCACAAAATACACATTCAATTCACTTTACAGTGTATCCTGTGAAGTGCTTTGAGATGTCTCGAAGACGTGATAAGGCGCTGTGTCAAATACAAGGATTATTATTCTTATTCTTATCTTTTCGATCTCTTGAACCCCATTCCAGTCACTCACTGTATAACAACTACAGTTTGGTTTACACAGCAGCTTTATCCAGGTAGTGGCTCAGAGCACTTAACTATGGTGAGTGCGGTACTGAGCCGGAAAGAGGGGGGGAGGTGACTTAGACTTAGTCAACAGTCTTCAAATGGGATCTAAAAACAGTGGAGGATGGGGAAGGCCGAGGGTTGAGGCAGAGAATTCAAAAGCAGCTGAAAGCACAGCCACCGATGGTGGAGCAGGAGCCAGTGCCGCTGAGTAAGGCAGCGGGTAGAGGAGTGGGAGTGAGCCGATGGCAGCCGGTGTCCGACACACACACACAAACCATCACCGTGATCAGCCGGTGTCCGACACACACACACAAACCATCACCGTGATCAGCCGGTGTCTGACACACACACAAACCATCACCGTGATCAGCCGGTGTCTGTCACACACACACAGACCATCACTGTGATCAGTCGGTGTCCGACACACACACACAAACCATCACCGTGATCAGCCGGTGTCTGACACACACACAAACCATCACCGTGATCAGCCGGTGTCCGACACACACACACAGACCATCACCGTGATCAGCCGGTGTCTGACACACACACAGACCATCACTGTGATCAGCCGGTGTCTGACACACACACAGACCATCACCGTGATCAGCCGGTGTCTGACACACACACAGACCATCACTGTGATCAGCCGGTGTCTGTCACACACACACAGACCATCACCGTGATCAGCCGGTGTCTGACACACACACAGACCATCACCGTGATCAGCCGGTGTCTGACACACACACAGACCATCACTGTGATCAGCCGGTGTCTGACACACACACAGACCATCACCGTGATCAGCCGGTGTCTGTCACACACACACAGACCATCACCGTGATCAGCCGGTGTCTGACACACACACAGACCATCACCGTGATCAGCCGGTGTCTGACACACACACAGACCATCACTGTGATCAGCCGGTGTCTGACACACACACAAACCATCACCGTGATCAGCCGGTGTCTGACACACACACAGACCATCACCGTGATCAGCCGGTGTCCGACACACACACACAGACCATCACCGTGATCAGCCGGTGTCTGACACACACACAGACCATCACCGTGATCAGCCGGTGTCTGATACACACACACACACACACACACACACAGACCATCACCGTGATCAGCCGGTGTCTGACACACACACAGACCATCACCGTGATCAGCCGGTGTCTGACACACACAGACCATCACCGTGATCAGCCGGTGTCTGACACACACAGACCATCACCGTGATCAGCCGGTGTCTGACACACACAGACCATCACCGTGATCAGCCGGTGTCTGACACACACACAACCCATCAGGGCTTTGGCTTTGTGGGGTTAAGGGATATCCCTGAGGGGGCGGAATCCCTGGGCTTTATGTCCAAGGGAACTGATCCACTGATCCACTGATCCACTGATCCACTGATCCCGGCCGCCCTCCCTCCCACTGATCAAGGCCTTGCTCATGGACTGAACCATTTTGACCAGTATTTCAGTCTCCGTTCCCTTCCCTCCACACCACACCTCAGCCCCAGCCCCAGCACCCCCACCCCCACCCTCCAACCCCCACACCATACCCCCCACTCGCCACCTCCCACACCACAACCCCCACCCCCACCCTCCAACCCCCACACCACACCCCCCCACCCGCCACCTCCCACACCACAACCCCCACCCGCCAACCCCCACACCACAACCCCCACCCCCACCCTCCAACCCCCACACCATACCCCCCACCCGCCACCTCCCACACCACAACCCCCACCCTCCAACCCCCACACCATACCCCCCACCCGCCACCTCCCACACCACAACCCCCACCCCCACCCTCCAACCCCCACACCACACCCCCCCACCCGCCACCTCCCACACCACAACCCCCACCCCCACCCTCCAACCCCCACACCACACCCCCCCACCCGCCACCTCCCACACCACAACCCCCACCCACCCGCCAACCCCCACAACACCCCCCACCCGCCACACCACACCCCCCACCCACCCGCCAACCCCCACACCACCCCCCCCACCCGCCACCCCCCGCACCACACCCTCCCACCCCCTCTCCGCCAGTAGACTAACAACTGGATTCCAACTGACTGCTGGGAAACATAGGCATGAGTGTATGTGTGTGTATATGTGTGCGTGTGTATGTGTGTGTGTGTATATGTGTGTGGAGTAAGGAAACTTGCCCAACATTTCGCCCTGACCCAGAAATCAATCCCAGGTCTCTTGATGGCGAGACGAGGACTCTAACCACTGAGCTAAACACATAGAAAGAAAGAGCAGGAGAGCGAGAGCGAGAGACAGTGAGCGAGAGAGAGTGAGCGAGAGCGAGAGACAGTGAGCGAGAGAGAGCGAGCGAGAGCTAGAGACAGTGAGCGAGAGAGAGTGAGGGAGAGCGAGAGACAGTGAGAGAGAGAGAGCGAGCGAGAGCGAGAGACAGTGAGCGAGTGAGAGAGAGTGAGAGAGAGTGAGCAAGCAAGAGCGAGAGAGAGAGAGCGAGAGTGAGAGAACGCAAGAGAGCGAGCGAGAGAGAGCGATGACAGCGAGCGAGGGCAAGAGAGAGCGAGAGAGAGGGAGCGAGACCGCACTCCATTACAGACACGGGAAGATTTGCAAGTCACATTGACCTGGAACATCAACATGTGACATTGACATTGATTGTCGTGCGACATTGACTCACTGAGAAGCTTTGCACACCTTGGAAAGTAGGTTAGATGTGGTCAGCAGATTGTCATCTGTGTAAGTTACTAGAAAGACCAAGATCCCCCCCGTCTCCCTCACCGACCACCACCCCCCCCCCCAGGAGAATCACCCGCCTTCCAGCGAACTCCCCGCTTTGTGTCAGTACAGCAGTAATCTCGCGGCCAGCGATGCCGGTAAAGTGCCGGGGGCCGGGGGTTACCACAGTCACTGGGCTATATAGAGAGAGCTGTCAGCCAGGACTCATCAGTCAGTCAGCTTCAGACAGAGAGTGAGAGAGAGAGAGAACAGCCAGACACCCAGACAGCGCCCAGACAAACAGACAGCGTCCAGACAAACAGACAGCGTCCAGACAAACAGACAGCGTCCAGACAAACAGACAGCGTCCAGACAAACAGACAGCGTCCAGACAAACAGACAGCGTCCAGACAAACAGACAGCGTCCAGACAAACAGACAGCGTCCAGACAAACAGACAGCGTCCAGACAAACAGACAGCGTCCAGACAAACAGACAGCGTCCAGACAAACAGACAGCGTCCAGACAAACAGACAGCGTCTATCATCAGGCACCAGCCAGTGACAGATATTAACGATGATGGTTAAAGCCGCCCTGAGCTTTGTGCTGGTGAGTACCACACACTGTTAATATTCTACTCACATCACTTAAAAAAAGGTCATTTTAAAATTGTTTGTTTCAACAACGAATTAGATCGATTTCTGTTAGGGAATAATATCTGGGGGAGACAGTGTATAGATACACACACACACAGCGTTTAGATACACACACACAGACAGCGTATAGATACACACACACAGACAGTGTATAGATACACACACACAGACAGCGTATAGATACACACACACCGAGACGGCGTATAGATACACACACACCGAGACGGCGTATAGATACACACACACAGACAGCGTATAGATACACACACACAGACAGCGTATAGATACACACACACCGAGACAGCGTATAGATACACACACACAGACAGCGTATAGATACACACACACAGAGACAGTGTATAGATACACACACACAGTGTATAATTTGGGACATGACATGTCAAGTGACTGCCAGGATGGTGGAAGCTGAAGTAGATGGACCCTGGTCTTCTTTCTGTTGAGCCCCCTAAAGCGAGGTCCCTGTCTGTCAGTATAGATCAAAGGGGTCCCTGAACCCACAATCTTCTCACTGCACCTGTACCTGGGCGTTAGGTTCGAACCCCGTTCCCCCCCACATCCCACCCCTCACCAGGATCGCTTTCCTCCACCTCCGCCACATCCCCCGTCTCCCACCCCATCTCACACCAAACTCAACCAAAACCAAGTTCTCAAACGCTCTTCTCACCACCATCAAGCCCTGTGTCTCTGTAACACCTTCCCAGAGACCCTTACCCTCCCTCCCTCGCTCCCTCCCTCCCTCCCTCCCTGACTCCCTCCCTCCCTCCCTCACTCTGTGTCTGTCTCAACACCGACCTCTGTGCCCTGGAGTGCTGCTGGAGGTTGGGGATGTCCGTGTGAGGTGAAAGCCTTATATAAATCTAATTTGTTGTTATTATTGTGTTGCTTAGGGTCACCTGACCCGCTCCCCCCGTTAGTATCTGACTTCCCTGTACTGTGCTCCGAGCCCTTACCCCATGTGACTGTTATATCAATGTACGTTGTTGTTGTTGTTGAGCAGTGTGAGGTGCAGTGGGGTGTGTCTGGATGGTGAGGGGGATTGAGAGCTGGAGATCTATTGTGTTTGTTACAAAGCCTTTCATGTCGGGAAGACGTCTCACAGGCTTCTCAGGATTTACTGTAAAGTGTAGTGACTGTGTTTTGTTGGCAAGTGAGGCAGCCCAATGGCACACAGCGGTAACCCGCAAACAGCCACCAAGTGAATAACTAATATTATTATTTGGGGGCTGTTGGTCAGGACCCTGGGGGGAGACAAGACCCCTCTGCTCTCCCCATCCCATAGTGATGTGGGATCCTCAACATCAACTCATCTCCAAGTGAGATCTGCTCGGAGCTGAGCGGCACCAGGACTGCCCGGCAACGGACTGCCAGAATCCAGAGTAATCACAAACAGACACACTATCTATACGCTGTCTGTGTGTGTGTATCTAAACGCTGTGTGTGTGTGTATCTATACACTGTCTCCCCCAGATATTATTCCCTAATATTCCCCCATCGCCCCCCAGCCCAGGACACTCAAACCCACCCACTGCGGGCCTGACTTCATCCAAGTTAATAGGTTAAGCAGCGTCCTGTCAGCTCAAGCGATCGCTCCTGCATGCCAGTCCAGTAGCTCAGTGGCTGGAGCCGGTGTCTCACAAGCGAGAGGACCTGGGTTCGATTCCCGGGCAGCGTGAAACCTTCGGCAAGTTTCCTTTCTCCACACACAGGCCTCTGGTTACCAGCAGTCAGGAGGACCCCAGTTGTTAGTCGATTTGTGGATTGCTTTCCGGGGGTAATAATCCATTCAATAATAAATAAATAATAATTTGGTCTCAACCCACGGCTGTGTGTGGGACACTCGCTGCTGTGCACAATTGGCTGCTGCGTTTTACCCACAAACTAGACAGTCATTCACTTTAACAATATAATCTATGAAATGCTTTGAGATGCCTCAATGACATAATAAGACGTTATATCAAATGCAGAGGTTATTATAATAATAATCAAGGCCCCCCCTCTGTGCCGGTCTCTCGGCCGGTTCCTGAGCCGGGAGGGGCCGCGGGATTCCAGGGCACTCACTGCTGATGGCAGCACAGCCCGGCCCGGCTCACCACAGGGCCTGGAAGGACAGACCAGGGGTCACTGGGGGCCGGGAATCCTCCCCTCAGCTCCTGGGAACCCCACAGCCAAAGCCCTAACTAACGGGAGGGAGGTCCGAGCTGGACAAGCAGCAGGAAAGCTGCCGGACAGTGGTATCAGTGGCCAAGCTATGGGTTTAGCGGGTTACACTCCAGCAGTGACCCCAACACA